GCCTATGACTCATCAGACTTTATAGCTCATTTAAATTTCTTGTAAGAATGGCAGAAGTGGGATCGAGCCCATGTAGATTTTGAAATAATTAAGAATAATTCTGCGGCTATTATTAATCAGTGGAAGTTCTACGTTTTATAAATTACGCACACAAAGGGCTTTAGATGCCAAGGAATTTTCCTCTACTCAAACTTTGTGCTATGAAAATACCACTCAATCTTAAGCAAAATTATAAGGGAAAAATTTAAAGTATTTCTTAGTCGATAACTGTTCGAGCTGTGGAGCCTCTAAAAGTCCATAGCGTTAGAAAGCTCTGAAAGCAAGTTCGGCATACAAAGATCACTGATCAAACGGGAACTGAACTCGATTGCTCTTGTCGCTGACGATAGTATTTATACGCAACGACCTTGGTTGGCCTGGGAGCGATGCTTTGCAGTTACTATGGTGTGAAACTAACGATCCAATATGGAACGTAGGGGGCGCATGCGGAGAGGATAGGTAACGTTCATCATTTGGAAGCAGACATATTGCTCATCGGATGACAATGCTAAAACTAAGAAGGGGGAGAAGGGGGAGGGGCGTACCCACAAATCGATGACCATGTCAGGATTCTAAGAAAATTTAATTGATTTCTAAACAAAAATAACAGTTTTGTGCCCTAGCATGCGAAATGGGCGTGTCGTAGCCACATTTACGTACACTGGTGGTCAACGAACAGAGAAAACTACGAAAAACCTCCTATCTTGATGAACTGCTTTGATTCATGGCCTGCTCTAAGCATCTGCATTCCATTTACATGAACGAAAAAAACCATATCTTTGGTATGCACTCAAAATTTTAATTATCATCACCAATAATTTAATTATTCAATAAGATCGATGCCAGCAGGAATAGTATCAAATTTGGAATGTACATCAATGCAGTATTCCATCGAGGCCTCCGCCAAGATTCCACTGTGGTAGGATGTTCTAAGTCGTATATACGACAGCAGTCCAAACCGCAACAGTACTCAGCATATCGTTGACATCTGAACAAGGAGGATTAAGCTCCACCACTAAATTTCACTCTGTCCCTTTTTAAAAAAGGAGCCAAAGGACATACAAGACAAATTCCAGGTAGGAATGATCATTAGAATCTGAAGGAATAACAATCCATCACAATTCTTAACTCTCACTTTTTATAACACCCATAAAGTAAACCACTTACTGATAGATTATATCATATATGGGTAG